AGATTCGGCCATCTCGAGAATAGAACCTAAATATTAAATTACAAACAAAAAACATCACTTTAAAAAATGTTATAATATTTGAAAACGAAAAAAAAAAATAGGAAAACAGTGATGGTGAATATATAAAGTACAAACAAAAACATCACTTTAATATTTGTTATAATTTTGGACAAAAAAAAAGAGTAAAACACGGGATGATAAAGACAACCATCACATATTTATTTGTGGGAAATTTATATAGCTGGAAAAAGAAACAAGTGGTCATTAGAATATAGCCACATATTGAACTACTTTAATATTTAATTAAAAACAAACAAAACAAAAGTCAAAGTTTGTTTGCTAAAAGAACCCCAAAAAAAACCCAGCAGAGCTTTATATCCGATTGTGTCTGCTTAAAAAAAAAACAAAACAAAAAATAGCGGATGATGAAAGAATTATTACCTGTTGTGGAGCTCGAGATGCGGTGGAGGCACACGAGATCAAGCTTTGTCGAATTGAAGGTGAAGAATTTTTTTTTTTTTTTTTTCTGTTCGCTGTCCCGTAAACCCTAGGTCTAGGTGGGAGATGAAACAATAAAGACCCGATGTGTTTTTTTTTAATTCTGTTCTCTCCTCAAAAGTGTTACACGTTTTCCTTTTCTTTTTTTTAATAGAAAAAACAGACTGCCCCTGCCCCTTTAACTTCTGTGAAAGGTGCCGAGGCGCGCCACACAGTCGCCTCTCGCCACACAAAAAGGCAAGCCGAGGCGACTCGAAGCGAGCGCCTCGCGAACATGGTCGCCTCAAGCAGTGGCGAGGCGATATTGCCTTCGCCTCGGTCGCCTCGCCTCGAGGCGTCGCCATGGCGTCGCCATTTTAAATTATGCACTTATCTGGAAGCTTCGTGTATTCCAGAATGGCAACTTGCTATGTCCGAGGAACTTGCTGCACTTGATTGTACCGGCACTTGGGATTTTGTTTCGTTACCGTCACATGTTGTACCTATCACGTGTAAGTGGGTATATAAGTTTAAGACGAAGTCGGATGGTTCTATTGAGAGATATAAAGCTCATCTTGTTGCTATAGGTTTTCAGCAGACTCAAGGACGAGACTATGATGAGACTTTTGCTCCTGTTGCTCACATGACCACTGTATTGCGGTGGCTGCTACTCTTTCTTGGACCATATCTCATATGAATGTGAAGAATGCCTTTCTTCATGGTGTTCTCCATGAAGAAGTTTATATGCAGTCACCACCGGGTGTTAATGCCCCCTCCGAACACGTTTGTCGTCTTTCTCGCGCCTTATATGGTCTCAAACAGGCTCCACGTGCTTGGTTTTGTCTCTGTCATACAGGGTTTTTCCCTAGTGATCATGATCCCGCCTTGTTTATTCATCTATCTCTTCGTGGACGTACTCTACTTGTTTATATGTTGATGATATGTTGATTACGGGAGATGATGCAGATCATATTTCTCATGTCAAGAAACAACTCGGTCAGCAATTTCAAATTACCGATTTGGGTCCTCTTAGCTACTTCTTAGGCATTGAGGTGATGCAGTCTGACTCGGGCTACTACCTTTCTCAGGCGAAATACATACAAGATCTTCTTGTTCGTTCTGGTATTACTGATTATCGGACAACGGCTACACCTATGGATCTTCACTTCCAGCTTCGCCCCACTGACGGTACGCCTCTTGAGAATCCCACTCGATATCGCCATATTGTGGGTAGTCTGGTTTATCACACTGTCACCAGACCTGATATTGCTGACCTGACATTGCTCATGTTGTTCATATATTGAGTCAGTTTGTGAGTGCTCCCACTTCATTTCATTTTGGACATCTGCTTCGTGTGTTACGGTATTTAAGGGACACATCATCTCAGTGTTTGTTCTATGCTCGTGATAGTTCGCTTCAGCTTCATGCTTATTTGGACTCTAGTTGGAAAAGTAATCTGACAGATTGTCGTTCTGTCACTCTGGCTATTGCATTTTTCTTGGTTCTTCTCCTCTTACATGGAAGTCCAAGAAGCAAAGAAGCAGGTTGTTGAGGCAGAACTTCGAGCACTTGCCACTACCACTTCAGAGATTATATGACTTCGGTGGTTGTCGGTTGGTTTTGGTATTTCATGTGATAATATTGGAGCCATACAAATTGCCAATGATCCCGTGAAGCATGAGCTTACAAAACAGATTGGTGTCGATGCTTCCTTTACCCGATCTCATTGTCATCAGAAAATAATTGTTCTTGTATATGTGCCTTCAGAACTGCAAGCGGCAAACTTTTTTACCACAAATTATCGGCTTCACTTGTTCAAACTCAATGCTTCGGATCCTCCACCTCCACCTCCACCTCCACCTCCACCTCCACCTTGAGTTTGAAGGGGGGTGTTAAGTATATTAAGGCCCTAGGCCCATGATCAACTCTATATATATTGTCCTTTCATATCAAAGGAGACTATCAACTCAGAAATCCTAGGTTTGTAACAAACAATACATAAAAGATGCCAAATAGGTAGTACTATACTAAGGATAAAGGCTAGTGAAGGGGCAGTTGCCCAAGAGGCCAAAACTTCATTGATGAGAGATGTTGTGGGCCTGTATGAGACTGCATGGGAGTCCTTGTGTCTATGAGGTGCATGTGAGCCTGATATTTACAAATGGCAGAACAAATATTGATGCAAGAGAACTCTACAACATTTAAGTTCTATGAAGATGGATCCGAGAAGCTTCATTACCCCCACCAGTTTCCAACCATAAATTCTTGTGGTATTGTCTAAAAGTATCCACAATATAATTTTCATGAATGCACAAGCACCTTCACTTCTATCCTTTTCAGATCAGCATTAACAACCCACTGAGTCCAATTAAAATAGCCAGACTACCAAATAAGAGGCTAATACAAATTCAAATACGAAACAGAATATCAATCAAATGAATAGTGAAGACCAAATTAATTTCTTACAGAGACCAACTCTGTCCAATATGAAAAAAGAGACTATTTTATACAAAGTTAAAAATAAATCTAACCAGAATTAATTAAAGGGTAAAAAAGATTACCTGCAAATTGCTACAGTCACACTGAATGAGGTGTGAGCAATCAAATTCAAATAAAAAGAGCGCCTCCAGTCAATGATTACTGAATTTTCACCAATTAAGTCATCCAACTGCTAGACATAAGTACACAAGTTAATTAAAAGTGAACAGAGAAAATAAAAAGAGAAAAGTAAAAATACAATCAGCTATCAAGTAAGATCCACATTATAAAGTGGAATAATTAGAGATGTTAGAAGGGCTAGTCCTAATGGTTTCTGGCCAGCCCTAGTGGGTTTTGGACTACATGGTCCGGGCTAAAGAAAGATCTGATTTAAAGAGCTAGCAATTTACGGACCTAATCCTAACCCTAGTGGGTTTTGGGATAGACGGGCTACTAATGGCATTTATGAAAATTTGCTGAGTTACAAACTAAAAAATTTTAATTAAACATGCACTACATATAATTTTAAATATGTTCACAAAAGTTTAGTTAGGTTGCATCTATAAAATAATAAACTCAAAAGTTTATAAAATGAATATAGAAATGTTACTCATTATATACCAAAAAA